TTGTTACTTACGGTCATTTCCATGTATTGTTATTGACAAAAACAACAATTTAGGATGCTTTAAGAACATCAGCTGTTGTAGAGTCATGCAGCAAACTGTGTTTCCAAGGAGATGTTGCCCTGTCGTGTTTGTTGAGTTCAGGGTTGTTGCTTTCACTGAAAATATATCACCGCTATTGCATCGCTGGCTCCAAACCGGTGCTTTATAATAAGCAAAATGTTCTGATGCTGTGGAAAATCTAGCCTTTTGTCAGCTGGCCTTGCAGAGCCCTTTTTTATCAGTGTGAACATTACAGGGGAGGGGATAAGGAGAGGAGGGAAGGAAGCACTGGGAGTCGGCCGTGGCGGTGTTTCTGCAGGGAACTGCGTGATGGGGAGTTTCACACAGCGGTTTGTGGGCGTCAGCAGCTGTCGGTCATTGTGTGTGCCGTTGGTTCAGGCAGTGCCTTGCTCAACAGCATGAATGTTTCGTTCATTTGACCTTCCTGCAAAGGATTCGATTAGAGACTTTTTGTAAGTATATATAACTATATATGTGCTCTTATACCTCTGTCTTTGTGAGGAGACTTGGTGACTGTGGAAAGCAGGAAGTGCCATTAAACGCCTCTATTTTCACACATTTTATGTAAAAAATTACACAATTTTTATAAGTAACTTTAAAAGAGGAGGTAAGGTGATCATATTCTCAGGCAAATCAATATTTTACGAACTGTACAATTCTCAATCATCAGTGAAGTGTCCTCATCAGTGATAGAACCCAATACTTATATTTACACTACAGTCATTAGAAGAGGTCATTTTAAAAGACAATGAAGACGGTCAAGGTGATAATATTATCAGGAAAATTACCATCACAGATCACATCCTATCAATGCAGACACTTGCTGCACTTGCAAGGCTTTGGTCTGGCTTTACTCTTGACTTTTCCTGGTTTTACTGGCTATGCAGAACAGAAGAAGGGGCTCATTACCATAAGGAATAAAGTCCACATGTAAAGCGGCGTAAGAAGCTGCGCTTTTTTGGTTTTAAACGCCACAAAAAGCTGCATTTTTAACATATATCATGTAAAAATTAGAGGCAAGTATTGGCGGTTTCGACACAGACAAGTTTATTTATATGGAACAATTCAGCATCAAAGCATCAAAAGACAAAGTGCAAAATAAACTCACTACAAAAGGTGTAAATAAAAGTCAAAACGGTCATTTAAGAGCCAAGCGATCCGAATATAAAAACAAGCTAAAATGGAATTATTCCAGTGCAGTGTAAGAAGTTAATGATTGGTGGAGCTTTTAAGTTTGCTTTGATGTTTTTGAATCAGTTCTGCAGCTCAAGTTTAAAAGAGAAGTTGGAGAGACAAAGTGTCACATGCTAAAAAAGAAACAAACCCACGTACAGAAGGTGGGAACATCTCTCCACTGTTCAATAGTTGCACTGTAAATATTAGGCGACCTGATGGAGTGAGGCAGATCTGGTTTCGGAGGACACTCCGGTAGATTTCTGCTCCCGGTACCAGCATGCATTCTAACTCTGTGCAAATATGCTTTTGGCTGCTGTTTGATTCCAGGAGACACATTCACATGAATAGCAATGAGACGCTCTGGATGCGCTCTGCATTCAGGAAGAGGAGACCCCCTGCCATTCAAATGCACACAACAGTGTCTCATACACGCAGGCTCGTTGGCAGTCTCACATACACACACACACACACACACACACACACACGCGCGCACACGCACACACACAGTCACTGCTGATACGACTGCATACATACATTTGTACATGCAAACAGCAGCAGAGGGGGGGTCCCTTGTCAATATGTGCATGTTAATGGGTCGAGTTCAGACAATCGGAATATTTGAGTGTTGTGCAGAGATTCAAGGTTAAGAGGAGTGTCGAGCAAAACAACAACTTTCACTCACACTTTCTTGTGACCCACTGTGTATGTGTGTTTATACTATATGTATGTATGTATGTATGTGTATGTATGTATGTATATATATACACATAGGTGTATATATATATGTGTGTGTATATGTATGTATATGTGTATATGTATATATGTATATGTGTGTATATACAGTATGTGTGTGGGTGTATAACCCATCATAATGTAATTGAATGGAACCTCGGTACGTTAGCCGTTAGCGCTGCTGCTAAAGTTACCAGCTTTCTTTCCTCCTGTGAGTTTCAACACAGATTTGTTGTTCACTACGTAACGTTATAACTGTACAGAACACGGATCAACGGTCCGTTACACCACTGGAGGCAGTGCAGTCTGCACAGAACCTGGTTTTAATTTGTATTTATACATCATTTGTTGCGTTATTAATGAATATAAATCACACATTTTGAACCCTTTGCGTTATTCGTTCATCACAGTACTGTCAGGTAGAGTGTAATGTCATCACCAGGGCTGAGCTGGTGCTGCAGCTGCTGTCCAGATGGATCGTCCTCCCGTTGTTGAACTTGCCAAGTTCAAACTCCCAAGTGTGCGAGTACAAACGGGACATACTCTCCTTCTGTAGAAGTATAACAGCAGGATGACCTACAGCTGTATCACCACAACACCGACTTTTATCCACTTTGTCTCGTTCCGTCAATAAATCCATGTGAGCAGACTGCATCTGAGCCGTTGATGCTGTTAGTCAACACTGTTAGAAGGTTGCAGAGTTGACCGTAACCTGTTAGCAGGGTTAAGGCCCCACCCCCAGGACCGCTGTGACCCCTCCGACGCCTCGTACCTCATTACTACAGGATGTGTGACCTGCAAACACTCCGTCTCACTCTCTCTCACACATTTCTGAATCTGACCTTCACACATGAGTGTGTGACCCACTGAACCGGCGGGGGGGTTCAGCAGTGAGGGGTTGCCGGGGTCGCCGCCGACCGGGACGAGTTGAGCAGATAGGATCGGTTGATTGACGAGCCGAGGTTCATTTTTAATGAGAGAGAGAGAGAGAGAGAGAGAGAGGTCACGGGACTGATAGACTGATTTGAACGTGTTCAGCACATTTTCACTGTCAATTACTCATTTTTTTTTTTCTGACGTTTTTTTCTCTAAAATGAAGATTCATATATTAAGAAGTAAGGCAATCTAAAGGTTAGAAAAAATAACGTAATGTAAATAATAATGTTTGTTGTGTTACTTAATAAAGATTTCAAATAGTTTTTGTAGAAAGTCTCGTGTGGTCGTGTGCTCATATTGAGGGATCTGGAGTTCCCCCGCTGTGAAATCAATAAGTGCTTAAAGAGATAATTCCCCTGTTTAGAAGTGGGGCTGTGTGTGTGAGGTGCTTCTACACAGTCAGTGTATTACTACAGTAGTACCAGCACGGGAGCAAAGCCACGTATTTCAGACAAATAAAAGAATCGATATCAGTTTAAGTGTTCGCCATGTTTAGAATATCTTCACCTCTTGCAGATATAGCAGATATCCTTCTGTCTCTCTGTCTTTCTTTCTGTCTCTCTCTTTCTTTTTCTCCTGCCTTCCTTTCTCCCTGTCTCTCTGTCTGTCTCTCTTCTTGTCTCTCTGTCTGTCTCTCTTCCTTTCTGTCTTTCTTTGATTGTAGAAACCAATCTAGGAACTCCAGGAACGTGTTCCACCTTTTCATGAAAGACCCCCCCGTCATGATAATAAAACTCACTGAGGTAGAAAAGAATCTCTTTGTATCAGAAGGTAAATAGATTTTCCATCAACCACCTCTGGGATGAAATTAATCACCTCCATCCAGCCGTCGACCCCGTCAGCTGAGCGCTGCTGCAGCAGAAATGGTGGCAGTATACGACCACCTGCTCAACTGTCACCTTCACTGCCCCCCCCCCCCCACTCCCCCTTTATACCCTCCGTCACCCCAATCTCACATAAACTCCCCCTCAAACCACCCAAAAATCTCCAGATGGTGCAGCTCGTAAAATAAAAGGTTTACTGCTGCTTCCTGGTTTTTCTCAATCTGGATCAAATCATATCTTTGTCGGGGTAGAAGAAGAGGTGTGTGTGTGTGTGTGTGTGTGTGTGTGTGTGTGTGTTTGAATGTGTGCATAAAGGAGGTGTTCTTGAGCATGTGTGTGTGTGTGTGTGGGCAGTAGTGTTTGTGTTTGCTATTGTGTGTCTGTGTGTGTGAGCTGCATGTAGAATCTTAGAATCTCTAGATCAAAACATGTCTTTCTAGTGTTCAGAGTGTGTGTGTGTGTGTGTGTGTCAGTGTCTCCATGTGGGAGTTCATTATTCATTCATGTTTTTTCTTTGTAATAACTCCTTTGCGAGCTTCTTAAAGAGACATCGTGATCCGTTGTTTTCTCGTCTCCTCCGTGAACGCTTTCTTTAGACTCCTCCTAATGGCTCCATTCGTCTTAATGCTGGCACTTTAATGCAGCATTTAGATGATGTTAATGCAACCAAACAACTTCAGCATGAAGCCAAATTATCTGTTGTAATGTGTGGAAAATAAAAGGCTTTGTACTCCTCAGATGTTATTTGGTTTTCTTGAAGTCGGTGACAAATTGTGTGAAGTTGCAGGGTCAACAATGTCCTACAATAATAATAATAATAGTAATGTGTACCAGGGCTAAGTCCTTACCACAGAGTCCCCGGTTCGAATCCAACCCGTGGCTCTTTGCTGCATGTTTTCCTCTTTCTTCCCTTCCATGTATATCCGTCCTTTCTCTAATAAAGACCAAATGGCCAAAATATATATCTTTAGAAATGATCATAATAGTAATAATTAAGTTTATTCGTATAATAAGATGCTGTACACAAAACAAGTCTAAAATAAAGGCAGAAACCAGTTAAATAAGGACGCTGGCTTTATTTTTGTTGATATATTTGTATTGAACTGCTTTTTTTATTACATCACCAACTGTCAACATCGTGTCAATGCTGAGTTCTAGAGTAGTATTTTGCCAAAAGAAGTATTGTAAATATCCGTTGACATTCATTCAATAACGACCCTGTCCTTGGTGTTCCACCATAACAGTTCTGTCTCCTCTCTGCCCTCCTCTCAGTGCCAGAGCCAACCCCTCCTCGGGCTGAGGCCGTCCTCCAAACAGCGGGTAGGAAAACACTCTCAAACACCTTAAATGACTTCCTGTTTCTGTTTGTCCTCCACGCTGAAGGAACAGGACGTACACACTACACACACACACACACACACACACACACACACACACCACATGATATCTGAGATGGAGCAGACTGGAAGTCTGTGTTGCTGCGACGTCAGAGAGGATTTACACGGAGCATTACACGTCTACACCTTATAAATAAAGTGTTTTTGAATTGAGCCAGAGCCTTGCAGGGACAACAACAATGTTAAGGGTGGAATTATTCGTTTCACACCGCCTGATTGGCTGATTGTTTTCTTGACAGTTCACAGCCGGAAGATGGATTCAACAGTTATTAAGCTGTTGAAATGATGCTAAGTTCTCCTCTCTACTATCGCACGGTCCTGTGGATGATCTGCTGGCTTTCACACCACAAACAAACCGTAACAAGATCCACCTTCTCAGGGTCTATTTCTTGATGATATCCTACGAAAAGTTAGTCCTTACCTACGAAACCGCCAGCAACACCTTTCAATTTAGGAAAAGATCGTCTTTTAAAATAATAATTCACCTTAAAATAATAACTTATATGTGCATTTATTAAAAGATTTTGGTTATGAAACTCGTGCACAGCCCAAATCTGACCAAAGATACCTGATATGTAAGGTAGCTGTCTGTTAACCACTCTGAGAAATGAAGTGTGTGTGTGTGTGTGTGTGTGTGTGTGGAAGACCTCATGAGGTCAGCAGGGACAGTGAGCAACAGCTTGCACGTCTTTGAAGATGGTATAGCACACATTTACACACACACTTCCACACACACACTTCCCGCTCAGGACCGAACACTGGAGGCCACTGCTTTGATCTTCTCTGTGTTTGACTGCCTTCCTCCCCCCTTTCTCTCTCTCTCCTCTCACCCTTTTCTTGTTCAGTGTCATCCCCTTCATCTGTAGGATCATGTAACTGGATTCAGAATACTTTCATTAGCACAAAAAGAGGATTCTCACACTTTGAAAGCATTTCTAAAAACATCATTTTAATTAGTCACGTGATCCGTACAGCCCGTCTTCCCCGTGCCGCTCGGCTAATCGCTGTCTGTCTGAGAATGCAGCCAAAACACATCTTTCATCTCGCACTCTCTCCTGATTCCCTCTGTCCGTCTAGTGAGCGCTAAACAAACCCGAGTGACTCTGTAGTTTCACTGTGAGGTCGCTGGGCGTTGAGGGTTTCGTTGAGGTGTCTGTAGCTCAGTCGCCCTCATCCAGGATCAAAGCAGAGGAAAAGACGATCATTTGAGAAACGTGAGGTCAGAGCTGGGCTTCTCTGGTCAGGTCTGCTGAAACCACAGGAGTGCTGCTGACACGGGGAGGCAGGAGATGAGTCTTTTGAAGCTGCTTCTCCTGTGCAAAGTAAACAATATGGTTAGATGTTAGATCGTGCAGCCTGACTTCAAACATCAACTTAAGCGTCAACTGCTTAAAGGGATACTTCACCCAACAAAAATGACCATTTGTATTTCAATTACTCCCCCTGTGTTACCTTGAATTCTTGAAAAGAAAGCTTTGTTTTTATGTCTCTGCACCAGCAACAGCTGTGGTCTTCAAATAAAACACAAACGTCCACCTGGACTCAAGGATGATATTGTTATAAGTGTGACCTCATGTCCGTCCTTCATCCTCGTGATAATCTCAGGAACCTTGAGAGGAATTTCTTCAAACTTCGCACAAACATCCGCTTGGAATAAAGGATGACTTGGATTGTACCGCACTGAGCTGTGTGAGAGTCTGTAAACGGATGCTTTGATGTCGTTTTACTATTGTTAAATGCGACCGCCATTCACCTCAATTCATCAAGACATTTCTCTGTTCTTTGATTCTTCGTTCACTATTCTTCAAGAACTCAAGGTAACACAGGGTGAGTAATTGATATACTGATGGTCCTTTAAGGATAAGTCCTTCTAAGTCCTGTGAAATTCTATATTTTTCCCATTGTCAACAAACCCATGAAATGACTAAAGCCAAATATGAATTCAGCATCATCATTGTCCAAAAACTATTGAAGAGGCTGTTTTAGGATATTCTGTAGCCTTTTTAAAAAAGAAATATAAGTATATATTTGTGACACGTTTTAAAGAGTTTCAACATTCTTTACATAAATGACAGTGCTGGCTTTCACATTCCAGTCATGTGGTTCAGATGTGTATGTAACTAATGGCTATTCTCACGATGAAACGCCTCGAGGTTACACGGAATTGGGCTCAGTGTTTTCACGTCGGTCAGATTGGACCGCCGTAACGGTTGTCAAAGACATAATGGAAGCACAGATCAGAGAAGATTGCTTTGTCCTCTTGTATGTAATGAAATTGACTTTGCATCGCTCGGATGTGGGCGTTCGCATCGTACGCAGGCTTTTGTTACGCTGCAGGCCTCGGGTTTGATTCATAAGCCACACAGCTGATAATTGAACTGAAAGGAATAAGAACTTCAAATGTGAGCTCTACAGATGATGCAAAGAAGCTGCATTGCTTCATTAAAAGGCCTCAGGCCAAAGAAGAGTGAAACAATAACACAACAGAAGCCAAATTACATTCAATTCAATCTTTCCATTTATTTATATGTCAATTAGTAACAGAAGTTATCTCGAGACACTTTCCATATAGAGCGGGTCTGAACCGTACGTAGAATCAGCCTTTTAACAGGTAGAACACACGGGGGTCTGGGTGGGTCGCCATCTGCCTCCACCGGTCGGTCTCAACGTGTGAGTTTAAACACATAGAAACAACTAAAAGGATGAATATGAAGTAAAGACATAGCAAATAGAAAATGGCCCAATAAAAGGAGACAATTACAACTAAAAGATAGATCGTCACATAGATACACTACTGTTACTGTTCCGCTCTAAAGATGATGGCTTCACGGCTGTTGGAGAATTCTCCAGGCGATAAATATGAATCAGCTCATGAGGACCAACCGCTACGAACCCACAAAGCTAAAGTCGGCTGAAAACATTTGGTGGGAAAAGAACATTTTTCACACCAATGTCCTGGGTCAATATCACAAGACTCCTCTTCTGGTTCAGGCTGTAGTGTTTTAGTCAGAAGGGGACATGTGTAATACAAATCATTATCAGGACAGCTGTAGCTATGTTAGCTATGTTTGTCTCGACACAAACTTGTTTTTCTTCAGAAATCAACCCGTTCTCACTCCCAACTCCTCAAATACCGTAGGTTGTTTAGCGTCTTTATCGTAGTAGGTTTGTTGCGTAAGTAAACCGAAAAACTAAGTAAACCTACGATGGAAGTTTAGTTTGAGAAGAAACCGTCAAGATGTTGGATGCTGAAGGGACTGTGAGAAATGCAAAATGCATGATCGCATGAGAGATTTTATATATATGGTCGACTATAAGTTTTACAAGAAAACAAAAAAATATGTTCTTTGACAATTAGCAAATAGTTCTTTAAGGGAAAACAACCTTTTTTTTTTAATCTTCAGCTTCCATTAGACCAGCCTCTGTTGTGTATGTATATTAAGTATACACACATACTACTCCACAGGGTGACCCTCTTCTCCCTCAGCGTTGACGAATCTGCTTTCTGCTGAGGCCTGATTCCATTTTGATTTCCTCCCAGACAGACAGTATATATGCACGCCATCTCCGCTTTAAAGCCCACAGGATTATTTTTCAATTGAAACATTGTGTAGTCAGCGTTGTTTTCCTTTTTCATAGCACAAGGTAAACACTTTCTGTTCTGATTACGATTCGTCTGAAAGAGCTGATGCTCAGTCCGTGGTGTTGTTTCAGGCTGAGCCCGTAGAGGGCATTAAGAGCAGCAGAGAGACCAGCAGCACTTTAATAATTAGATTAGATTTGAATTAAACGTGCAAAGTTTGAGCAACATACTGTATTTCTGCCGTTGTTTTTAGCTGTTGCATCTGTTTCTGGTCATTCGGTCGTTGTTTTTATGCAAACTCATTCCTTTCATCCAGTTTTTCTTTTAAACAATTGCTCAAAGATTTTTGAACTGATGTTGTTTGAAGTCTATTATCTTTATTCATCTTTAGAGACCGTAACGAGAGCATTACAAATGGAATTACTGCCGACATGAAATCAGTTCATTTCAATAATAATGTTGATTTTATGAAGAGAATACCTTTATCTGCTCTTTGTTTTTAACAATCGGTTAGTAAAAAATTATGTTTTTTGTGTTTAAGTTGTGTAAGTCTTTTGTTTTAAATAAACATGCCATTCTTAGCCTTTACAGAAATCACACTAAATGGCAAATGAAATGTACAGTAGTCGACCTGTGACCGATGTCAAAATAACACAACTGTCTATAAATACACGATCACTCAGCAGCCGCGTGGCCTGATTCACTCGTGACCTGGTTCATGCTGAATGACAGACCGAGTCACATGTTCCACAAGTCTCTTCAAACTGGGGCAGGGGCAGCTGTCCAAAGATTACATCAACTTTGGCCTAGTCCTGTAACAACATCACATGACGCCCTCTCAGGGCTCAACATATTGTACAGGTAGCGCACAAGTATCGGACAAAAGACAACAGTCGGTCCTGACGGGTTCAGTTATAGTTGAAGAAAATCGTGACCCAAAATGGCTTTGGGATAATCTGAAGATTTAAATTCATTCAGTGGCAGCATAAATGGAGCCTCAGAGACATGCGGTATATTTGGGGATTTTAAAATGGAGATTTTGTGTACTCTTGACCTAATCCGTGCTGGCACAGGCTGCCCGTTTCTCTCCGAGATGGTCGTGGTTGTGTAAGCTGAAGTTCCTTTGTAGTGAACGGTCCTCCAGATTCTTGTCTAAATCTGTACTGAACAGCTTGGCCTCCAAACATTCTTACACAATAGCTTTTTTTTCCTATGTATCATAAAGCTGTTGGAGCAGCTGAGGTTTAAACATTTGACTAATATTTGATAGTTTGAATCAGAATGAACAAACCGGATGTCACTAATTTTAAGAAAAAAAAATCATATTTCATTCAAAACTC